TAATTAGTATTTATATATAATGTTATGTATTTATTAATATAATAATTTATTATATTTATTTAATAATATATCATGATTAATATTTTAACTGTATGATTATTATTATTTTTTTACCATTTAATACAAATAATGTTATAAATAAAGGAAAATGAAATATCATTGCATTCTTATATTTTAAATGTTAAACCTGGTTTTAGAAATATATAAATATTTTTATTAAAAGTTTTTTATGATTTAATTTTATTAAAAATATTTAAAAAATTTTAATTATCAATGTAGATATTTTCATTGTAAGAAAAATCTGATTTTTTTACAATCCCTATGTGGTTATATATTATACATGTAATATTTTGAGAATTGAAATTAAATTTGTGTTTAATTTATAAGTTAAATTAGGTCCCGTATGGTCTTTTTGGAAATCTAGGTTGATTTTTTCTTCAACATGCTTTACTGATGTGAGCTGGAATTTCCATTGCCTATTTTCAAAAAAAGAAGAAAAAGGTGTGAGCTGGAATTACCCAATTTGTTTAGTATAAACCAGGTTGGCCATGGCTGTGATGAGCAACAAACCATTGGTTTCCAAATTCAGGAAAAAAACCAATTTTATTAGGATATGTTTGGAACTTGAATTTGTATTTAGGGGATGTATTTAAAATATATATCATTCCAAATTATGTATGTCTAAATTTATTATTTGGATTAATATAATAATAATAAATTTAATATTCAATTTGTCCATTTAAAAAAAAAGAGAAAATTGAAATATATAGATTTAAATTTGAAATACATAAAGTTGAGAGAGTATTTTTTTTTTTTTTTATGATCGGTTGCATAACGAGAAACGATCTTTTTTTATTATTTATCTTATTTCATTTACATAATATATGACTTAAACTTAGGATCTGTTATTTTCAATGAAAAAAAATTTTCGTTAAATTATTTATGTCGTTGATGAGTGTTTTGAATACATAAATTTAAAGTAACGAAATATATGAACCCAAATACATATACTTGTGATAAATTTAATTATATATTTATTTTATAAAAATAAATAATATTATTAAATTTAAACCCACTTTTTATAAATCATGTTCCAAACATATCATAGGGAGATTTTACGGCCACAAGGCCCACAACAACCTTTATTTTATTTTATTTTCGGCCTCCGCCCTTTGGTAAGGCATGTTCTTTGTCGCACTTGCGGCTTCCGCTGCATTGGAAGTGCATCATCCTCTTGGTGTTTATGCTAAGGGTTCTAACTGTCACTGCTGCAGCAATATTATGCCTACCCTCTTATCTCTCAATTTATCACTAATAAAAAAAAAAAAAAGGCATGTTCTTTGTTTAAAGCAATTTTCTTATGCTTCAAAAATTGTTTTTTTCTTTTCCATGAAGATCCAAAACGTTTTTTCGGTAAAATGTAAGAAAACTGCTATACTGACTTTAGTACGGAAAAAAAACAAAAAGGCAGAAGCATGCATCTTCAATGGCATGTTCTTCTTTTTTATTTTTTCTAAAATTTATTATTAAGATGTTTTTGAATTAATTTTTTAAAATAGTTTTAAAAACACATCCTATATTAAACTAATATATTTAAAAATATTAATTTTTTAAAATATTTATCTTTAAATTTAAATTATTAACCTAATTTATAAAATAATATTTATTTATTAATAAATCCAATCTTCCTTACCTTGAATTCTTGATGGCAGATGGCGAACTCTACCATGTGATCCGATAAACCGCTCACCTCAATAAGAAGGGTGAGAGATCATATGTTATGGGGATCAAATCCTTAACTATTAATATTTTTTAATTTAATTATTAATTATTATCTTAAAAATAAAATTAAAAAAAAAAAGAAAAAAAAGAGGAAGATGGCAGATTGGCAGGGCAGGACACGTATCATTGAATTTTGAGGAATAATTGAGGGCTACGTTCTGTGCCCTTGTTAATTGCCAAATGCCCCAATATTCTCCTTTAAAAGGGCATCTTTTCTTCAGATTTTTTTTTATTATAAAAAAAAAAGGGGAACAAGATAAGGCAAAAGGATGCATAGAGATAATGAGGATCGAAAAAGATGTCAACAAGCCAAAAACCCAATCCAGTTACCTTGCATTGGTAGTAATTAATTAATTAGTTAAATCCACATTTTCGTATATATTTGACTTTCTGCGCACTGGTATGTCTTTAACTGCACCTAGTAATGCGAAAACTTAAATTATTGCTAATAATTTATTTTCAAGTAAAAAATTTAATAATTTAAATAATTTAATAATAAATTTTTTTATTAAAAATAAAAAATTATGAACGAATAAAATAAAATAAAAAATGTGAAATCATTACTTTTTATTATGTAAAAAAAAGTAAAAAATTTTAAATTTAGTAACTATATAAATAATTAATAAATTTAAAAAATTATATGTATTTGAATGATATGATACTTTAAATTTAAAATTAAAAAAATTATCATTCATTATAAACTTAAAATAAAAAATTAAAAAATTAAAAATTTGAGTTTAGACGTGCCAATAAAGTAAAAGTTACTTTTTATTATGTAAATTTTTTTTTTAAATTTAGTAACTATATAAATAATTAATAAATTTAAAAAATTATATGTATTTGAATGATATGATACTTTAAATTTAAAATTTTAAAAATTATCATTCATTATAAACTTAAAATTAAAAATTAAAAAATTAAAAATTTGAGTTTAGACGTGCCAATAAAGTAAAAGTGAATTTTTAAAATTGTGTAAAAAAAGTCTTAAAAGTGTGTAAAAGATCCACAAACAACAAGAATAGTGCTCGGAACTAACTCACAGATACCACGACTGTCAAAACTTAGAAAAAAAACAGGATATGGAGGACCATGTGTGAGTGTGACAAAATGCTAAACGCGTGTTGTATATAGCCCCAAGACCAGAAACACCTCAACATCTATGTCATTATCTAAAGGTAAAAGAAACTCCCCAAGATTGGCCAAATTGAAGAATTAAATTTTTTGAAATTAAAAACAGTTAAAAAAAGTTCACGATTCTTCTCTTTCTTTCGTAAATAAGTCATTAACTATTTTGGTTGGGTAGTCCTAATCCATCATCCTCTCTGCAACTTCATCTTCAAGTTTATTCAGTGCATAATTCCCCTTTATTTTTCATTTTTCTTTTGGTACGCAGCACCCCAAATTGATTCTCAAATTAATTATTCTCTGCCTCACCTGCTCTGATTTCTAATTTATTATTTCAGGTCTCACCTTCTGTTTTGATCTATCTTATTGACTTCAATCTGACCGAACCGCAGACTCCTGTTTTTTCATCAGCTAGGTTCTCTTTACAGCCATGTACTGATCTTTCACCAATAATTCTGAGATGGGGTTGTTGAAAGTTGTGGCCTTTAGTCTGTCCTTGCTGCTGTTCGTGGCGGTGGTCACTGGAATTGGAGTGAACTGGGGAACTCAAGCTTCTCACCCTCTTCCACCTTCCACGGTGGTCCGGATGCTCGTAGACAACGGATTCCAAAAGGTTAAGCTTTTCGATGCTGATTCCTCCATCCTAAACGCTCTTAGCAAGTCCGGGTTACAGGTGATGGTTGGTATTCCTAACGACATGCTCTCTGCCCTTGCCAACAGTGTACAAGCTGCTGAAAATTGGGTTGCTACCAACGTTTCCTCTCATATCTCCTCCAATAGTGTGGACATCCGGTAATTCTCTTTCTCTAAGGTTTTCTATGTTTTGATTATGTCTGATCTTCTGAATTTAGTCACTCACCAACTGTTTTAAGTTGTACTCAAGATATGTTGCAGTTGGGAACGAGCCATTCCTTGAGACATATAATGGAAGTTACATCGGGCTCACTCTGCCTGCTCTTCAAAACATCCAGGCTGCTCTTATAAAGGCAGGGTTAAGCACTCAGGTAAAGGTGACTGTCCCCCTCAATGCTGATGTATACCAGAGTTCGACCAATATTCCTTCTGATGGCGATTTCCGCTCCAACACCAAGGACACCATGCTGCAGATTGTTGAGTTTTTAAGTAACAATGGAGCTCCTTTCACAGTAAACATCTACCCCTTCATAAGCCTCTATGAGCAGCCCAGCTTCCCGGTGGAATTTGCCTTCTTTGATGGGTCTTCAACTCCAGTTAACGATGGTGGAAAAGTCTATACCAACGTCTTTGATGCAAACCATGACACGCTTGTCTGGGCCCTGCAGAAGAATGGCTATGGAAACATGTCTATAATTGTTGGAGAAATTGGTTGGCCAACCGATGGGGATAAAAATGCAAACTTGAATTACTCTCAGCGTTTTAATCAGGGGTTTATGTCCCGTATCAAGGACGGAAAAGGAACTCCGCTGATACCGGTTGCCATGGATGCATATCTTTTTAGCCTGATAGATGAAGATGCCAAAAGCATCCAGCCAGGTAATTTCGAGCGCCATTGGGGCTTATTCACCTTTGACGGGCAGCCTAAGTATCAACTCAGCTTGGGGACGACACACTCAAATGGTTTGATAGCAGCGAAAGGTGTTCAATATCTGTCACAGAAATGGTGTGTTATGACACCATCGGCCAGCCTTGATGACCCACAAGTGGTACCAAGCGTGAGTTATGCCTGTGCAAACGCTGATTGCACGAGTCTCGGGTACGGGACTTCATGTGGAAACTTGGATGCTCAACAGAACATCTCTTATGCGTTTAATGATTACTACCAGCTTCAGAATCAGCTCGATACTGCCTGCCGGTTCCCAAACATCTCCACTGTCGTGACTCAAAACCCATCAGTTGGAACCTGCAAGTTCGGGATCATGATCAAAACGGACTCTGCAAGTTTGCAGTCTGCAGCCCCGAGAAAGCCAGCTGGTCTGATGTTGTTGCTCATGTCTGCATTTCTCTACAGCATTATGTGAAATATACAGGGTGAATTTTCCAATTGAGATGTATAAAGAAAACCCAGTTGATTGGTGACTAATAGTGTGTTTTTTAATGGAAATGCATAATTCATTAGCAGGATGTCACTAATGATCCTATTGTGGCAAAGCAAGGCTGGACATGCCACAAAAGTTAGTCCTGGAATAACTGCAGCCAGGGAAGCACAAGCTGAAGAAAAACAGGAAAGGTAAGCAAAAATTTCTTTCCATTTATCAATCACTTTTGATACATGGGCTGTACAAGGTTGACTATTTAAGAATCACTTGGCTGCCTTTGAAAATACAAACAAGGAGGAAATAAAAACACTAGGAAGTTTGAACAAAGCATTTTGATACAAGAGCAAGCACAATACAAACGAACTTATCGAACACAATCATGTTGGTTAAGCTTGGCTCACTTTGTAGGCATTATCTAGCACACTGGACAAGAATGCTTCACTTCACAGCATGTAAGAACATTCTTCTGTTGCAAAAACCAGTGGGTGTTAACTTGGTCCATCAGCATATATGAGGCTTATGTTGAATATCCTCAATTTCACTGACTTTAACATAATTTTATGAATCCTAAAAAGAATTGTTGATTGTGCCGTTAACAAGCAAATCAACAAGACAACACATTTTGTTCTTCATATAGACAATATCTCTAATCGTTTCCATAACCATGCTAATTGACATGCTCATTTGATAAAAAATTCTGAAAAAATAATCTTAATAATCGTCAGCAAAGCTTACTTAAAACTACTCTCCAAGAAAGGTAAAGAATTAAAAAATAAATAAATAGAGAACATACTATGTTTGTGTGTTAGCATTTGTCTAACGTTCTTGTTTGACACTTGGAGATGTTCTGTTGATCTTATGTCAGCCTACAACCAACAAAAAAATGCAAATCCAGGCTTACGTATTCTAAATGAAATGATCAAAGAAAAAGTAAAATCCGAGGTGCTCTTTGGGTTTTAGTTTTTGCGCATATTTACCCAAAAAGGAATGAATTTGATTTACCTGCCTCACAGACTCAGGCAGACGGTCTTTAGAAGTAATTTTAGCAATGATGATGGCAGAATCAAATGATATACAGTAACCAATTGAAACAAATTAACAAATATAGGCTGCTTCAATTAGCCCTGAGTTGTTCCCATTGCTTGTTAAGCAAATACTTCACAATGTCATAGAGAAAATGCATATACAAAAAAAAATCCATGCTCAATACCAAGCAAATACTGGTAAAGTAGTCATCTTCTTTTGTCATCTAGAAGAAAAAGAAATGAAATGCATGAGCAAGACTTGACTCGAGGATGAAGTAATCCATTCCCATCTACCACCAGTATGTGAAAAGCATGAAACTTTTAGTATACCCATAAAGCACGAGGGAGCAATCAAACCTGTGGATAGAATTGTGAAGAATTGCTGGATCTAATAAAAGGGTAGTTAAATTGTAAACCAAACTTTAGGTACGACTAGACATCCGCAGGCGAGGGACGGGTTTTCCTTTGGAGAAGCTGACGTCGACTCGTTCCTCAGGGGATCGGAGCGGAAGCAGTTTCCAGGCGGTGAGGCGAAATCAGCCTCTGTAACCAGTCTTTTTTTGTTTTTTGTTTTTTGTTTTTTTTTTGCGTGAATCTAGCACCTGCTGTGTCAAATTGTTAACCCAGACACCACTCCATTCGAGTTCAAAAAAGGAAGTTTATACAGAGACGTACTGAATCCAGTCTTAATTTTTAGGACAGAGATGGATAAGGTAAAGCACAATTATGACGCGTATCTTTATTTGGGATCTACGAGCTGATTATAGAGCGAAAAATAAACCCACTTATAAATGGATAAGTAGGTAAAGAATTTTTTTAATTTAATTAGAGGTTTTAATTTTAAAAGTATAATTTTATTAAAATTTTTAAAGGAGAATTTTGTGGCCGTTGAATTTTGTCTAACTCAAATTTGAATTAATTAATGATCCAATCAGCTTTTAAATACCAGTGATTCAAAGAAAAAAATAAATAAAGCAAAAAATAATAGTGGGGAAGAAAATTTAAGAATAAAATTTGAAATTAATAATGTTATATGAAGTAATATATATAATATTATAAAATTTTAAAAAATATTAAATAATACAAATTTTATTTTTTTTTATTTTAAATTATATATTTTATATAATATTATTAGTTTTTAATTTTAATTTCATTTATTATTCTTTTGTACACAATTGTAAAATAAAAAAATTTATTTTGTAATTTTATTACTCTTCATTTATTTTTTATTTTTTATTTTTTTTAAAACAGTGTGAAATCTTTTTTTTTTTTCAAGAAAGGAGGAACGGAAGACTTGGGATTTGACCTCAAATTTTTTAGTCTTAAGCACGTCCCGCAATGGGGGTGGCCATTTGGCCACCGAGTGCTGGACACTCTTCATTTATTTTTAATTGTTTATATTTAATATTTTGATATTTTTGATATTAGTTTTAAGTAAAAATTTAACAAAAACATATAAGTAAAAGTTGGAAATTTTCTTTTTTTTTTGAAAAAAAAAAGAGTATATAGCTTCTGCTGAGTATTTTATTTGATAAAAAATAAGTTCCAACTTTAATTTATATGTACTATGTTAAATATTTATTTATATAAAATTAATAATGACTAAAAAGTAAAAAAAAAAAAATCAAATTGACATTAAGATTAAAGAAAAGTTTAAGGATCATTTATAGACTGAAAAAAGTTTAAGGACCCATTTGTGATAATATAACAAATTTAAGGATCAAATTGACATTAAATCAAATATTAAAATGGAGTACAAAAACATAAATGGTTTCAGGGTCGGGTAAAATAGATCCGTTTTGGAAAACTGCAAGGGCTAGGGTTTGAGTAGGAGAACCAGGGTCGGGTAGTTCGGGAAACTTCGGACCCGTTATAATACACCTCCTGTGTTCTTCATTATAAAAGCTCGAAGCAAAAAGGGGATTTCTTCTTCTTCCTCTGAAATTTGCAGAGAACCTTCATCTTCCATCTCTGTTCTGTTTGTGCTTTAATTCTTGATATCGAATTCAAACTCATTCCTTTCCGACCCTATTTATTCGGCTATTGTTCTTTTATACTGTAAATAAAGAAGTGGAGGTGGTGGCGGTGGCCATGGACGGTGTCTCCAACCCAGGCGGCGGTGGCGGCGGCGGCGGCGAAGGTCAGGGCGAAGCTCCTAAGCCTAATCCCTCTCAAAATGAAAGCCAGAATCAATCTCAAGAGCAGGGAGAGAGACAGGACCAGGAGGAAGAAGGGAAAGACGACGAGGAGTTGATGACAAAGGCGCAGAGTCTCATGGAAAAGATCACTTCTTCTCCAGATAACCCTAACCCCTCCGTTCTACATGCGCTCTCCTCGCTACTGGAGACACAGGAGTTACTGTATGCCTCCTTTTCCATTGTCATCAATTTAATTGTCACCTTCTTCCTCTTCCCTTTCTAGTGTTTGAATTAATTCCCCTCTTTTTATTTAATTGCGGAAATGGTTTAATGGTTGTATAATATTCTCATAATGCCATTATCAAGCTGTGTTCGTGTTTCGTGTAGAGTTTTTGAAGTTTCTTGCTCTGTGTTTTAAAATGCAGATACATTAAAGAAAATGGTTATTCCTTGAGCGGTGATCGTGCTTCTCATAATATAGGACGTTTGGGGAATTTAATCCGGGTAAAGTATATATATATATATATGTTATTGATATTCTGTCTTTCCACCTTTGGGTTATGGGTAATAGGCATCACTAGCAGATTATAACTGGCTTGAGAAGTTTCTTATTTGAAATATTCACCTACCGTTCTCAGGACAATGATGAATTCTTCGATTTGATATCTTCAAAGTTTCTTTCTGAGAGTAGATATTCAACATCTGTCCAAGCAGCTGCTGCAAGACTGCTCTTAAGCTGCTCTCTGACTTGGATTGTAAGAATGTCTTGTCTTCTAACTTGTTATTCTGTTAATTTCTACCATATGGCATGTTTGATTGACCAATGCGCACAATGGAATGCAGTATCCGCATGTCTTTGAAGAACCAGTTGTGGAAAACATTAAAGCTTGGGTGATGGATGAGACTGCCAAATTTTCTAGTGATGATCAGAAGGGGAAGCATGAAGCAGGAAGAAAGGAAGCCTCAGAAGCTGAAATGTTAAAAACCTATTCTATTGGGCTTCTTGCTTTGTGTTTGGCTGAGTAAGTTTCTGCTGGGCTTCATTTTCTTCTTGTATGGTTAGTTTTATGGTATATTGTCATAATCAGCATTTATTATTCTTTTTGTTCTTATCATTGCTAAATGACTGCAGTGGTGGTCCAGTGGTAGAGTATGTCTTGACTTCTGGATTGTCAGCTAAGCTTATGCGTTACCTTCGAATTCGTGTTCTTGGTGAGACCAGTACAAGTCAAAGAGATGCGTGCCATTCAACTGAGGTTAAGAATGTTTCTTCTGCTACTTTCAGAGGTAGAGAAGAAGCTCGGGGTAGGGTCAGGCAGGTGTTGGAGACAAGCCACTTAGATGATTTGAAGATGGTGGATAATAGATCTTTGGATGATCAAGGTGTTGAATGGGATAAAGATCGAAGCATTAGCAGGCAAGTACGGGAAGATGATTGTTGGGCTGATATTAGAGAACCACATGATGGGGCAGCAGAAGGGATTGATAGGTATGATACACATGCTGAGTCTGAGGACAGATGGCATGGTCGAGACACTCGTGATGGGAAACTGAGATTTGGAGAACTTGATGAAAGTTGTAGAGATGACTCTCCAAGGTGCAGGACGAACCGTGCAGGGCCAAGATCTAGAAGTAAGGGAAGGACTACTGAAGGGGCCATGGAGAGTGAACAGGGACTAGCCTCTTCAGGATCTGGGAGTCATTTGGGTGGAAAAGCCATCAGAGATAGAAGTTTGTCAAAGAATTTAGATGTTAGAAAGGTACCAGATGCAAAAAGGTTTGCTGAAAAGGTGAACACTGAGGGTCTTCTAGTGGAAAGAGATGACAATGATGAATGCTTTAGGGAATGCAGGGTTGGGAGTAGAGACATCTCTGATCTTGTAAGGAAAGCCATCAGAGCTGCTGAAGCTGAAGCCAAGGCAGCCAATGCGCCGGCAGAAGCTATCACAGCAGCTGGTGATGCTGCTGCTGAAGTTGTTAAATCTGCGGCTTTAGAGGTATGATGCTGCTAAAACTCTGTCTATCTCTTTCTCTCTCTCTCTCTCCAGAGAATAACTATTGAATGAGTTCTATCATCTATTCAGGAGTTCAAAACTACTAACAATGAAGAAGCTGCAGTTTTGGCTGCTTCAAAAGCTGCATCTACCGTTATTGATGCTGCAAATGCAATTAAAGTTTCAAGGTTGGTAACATTTTCACTTTGATAGAAAAAGGAATTTTGATTGCAGTTCAGTCATTATTTAGCTCCTATTGTATTATTAGTGCAAGTATTTATACTCCTTGGTTTGATAACAGGAACTCCACTAGCGTTGATGCTGATCCAGTTAACCCAAGTGCTACAGCAACAGATATAAATGAGGATTTTGAAGATTATTTTATTCAGGATGTTGAATCCCTTGCTCAGTTGAGAGAAAAATATTGCATTCAGTGCCTTGAGACTTTAGGACAGTATGTTGAAGTGCTCGGACCTGTACTGCATGAAAAGGGAGTAGATGTTTGTCTTGCATTGCTTCAACTAAGTGCCAGACATGAAGAAACATTGAAGGTTGCTTTGTTGTTGCCTGATGTGATGAAGCTAATTTGTGCTTTAGCTGCTCACAGGAAGTTTGCTGCATTATTCGTTGATCGAGGTGGCATGGAAAAGCTGCTGGCTGTTCCAAGAGTGCCTCAAAATTTCTTTGGGCTTTCATCTTGCTTATTCACTATTGGTGCTCTTCAGGTAATATATGCCAACATGATAGTTGGAACTTTTAACTTCTGCTATATTATCAATTAGTTTTATTTCATCTAATTTGTATTGGGCTTTCTAATTTCTCAAACATGTGTTCTTATGGCAGATTTAAACTCTAGAAATTAGGAAAATTCTCAAAGATGTGTTCTTTAGGCAGATTTAATCTCTATAAGTTAGGAGAAATGGAAAATGAAGGTTTACAAGTTTTAATAGATTCTTAAATTAATCAAAATTGGAGATTATCATCCTCAACAGGCAAGAAAATCCAAGGTTTATGTGTTTGAACTTTATTTTCCATGATTTGAGAATACTATGACAATAGATTGTAATATTTCCTAACTCCAGGGAATAATGGAACGTGTATGTGCACTTCCATCAGATATCATCCACCGAGTAGTTGAGTTAGCTATCCAGCTTCTGGAATGCCCCCAGGATCAAGCAAGGAAAAATGCAGCTGTGTTTTTTGCTGCTGCATTTGTATTTAGAGCGGTCCTTGATGCCTTTGATGCTCAGGATGGTTTACAGAAATTGCTGAGTCTTTTGAATGGTGATGCCTTAGTAGGATCTGGTGTTAATGGGGCTTTAGGCTTGTCTGCTATAGCATCACTGCGAAATGATCGATCCACAGCAGAAATTCTGACAATTCTTCTGACAACTTCACAAAAGCATATAGCTTTTCAGACCTGTGTTGCTTTGCGGCAGTATTTCAGAGCACATCTTCTTTTGCTTGTGGATTCTATACGGCCAAATAAGAGTACTCGAGGTGGGGCACGGAATATTCCAAGTGTCAGGGCAGCATACAAGCCACTTGACATTAGTAATGAAGCTATGGATGCTGTATTTCTGCAGTTGCAGAAGGATCGGAAGGTGGGTCCTGCTTTTGTGAAAACCCGGTGGGCTGCCGTTGAGAAGTTCTTAAGCTGTAAAGGACATATTATCATGTTGGAATTGTGTGAGGTTGGGTGTATTATTTTTTATACTCTTTTTCTTATTCTTTTCCTGCAATGTTTCTAGATGATTAAATTGATACATTTTCTAATATCTCTAGGGCCCACCAGTTGAGCGATACTTGCATGACATGCTTCAGTATGCTTTGGGGGTTTTGCACGTTGTTACGTTGGTTCCTACCAGTCGCAGGATGATTGTAAATGCTACTCTGAGCAATAATCGTGCTGGTATAGCAGTCATTCTGGATGCAGCAAATAGTGCTACTAGCCTTGTGGAGCCCGAGGTAAGCATTTGGGCCAATATTTTGCTTCACTAGCAATATTTTCACTGCCATATCCTTTTGTTGTTGGTTTTATTGCTATTGAAGATATTGCTGGTAGTGAGGTTCACGTGTTTTTTCACCATCAACACCTTGATTTTCCAAGTTCTTCTTGTTTTGGATACTGATATGAGACATGTGATTAAGTGTGATACTTATTCTGTTACTAATCATCTTATATACATTTTTATCTTATGTACTTGTAGATTATACAGCCAGCACTTAATGTGCTCATCAATCTTGTTTGCCCTCCACCGTCAATCAGCAATAAGCCACCCCCTCTAGGACAAAGTCAGCAGAGTGACATAAAGGAGCAGAATGGAGACGCTAGTGTGTTAGATCGAGGCAGTGCAGCAGGTGCCCAGTCCGTCAGTGCCACTCCACAAACGCCTGTTTCTTCTACTGCATCAGGATTGGTTGGAGATCGTCGAATATCTTTAGGTGCTGGAGCAGGTTGTGCTGGCCTTGCTGCCCAATTAGAACAAGGATATCGCCAAGCAAGAGAGGCTGTACGTGCCAATAATGGTATAAAGGTTCTTTTGAATCTCCTTCAACCACGCATATATTCTCCTGCTGCTGCTTTGGATTGTCTACGTGCTCTTGCATGCCGTGTCCTGCTTGGTTTAGCTAGAGATGATACAATTGCACACATACTGACCAAACTTCAGGTAAAGTACTCTTTTATGTGTATGCATTTTGTCTAACAGGAGACGACAGTGGACATTTCTATTTTTTATATGCTTCTTGGTTAGATTTTGATGTTTTCCCAATGTTAAGTTGCTTCTCCTGGTAATCAACTAATCGATTTATGCTCGGTGCCATTTGTACTTTGTAGGTTGGGAAAAAGCTGTCAGAACTAATTCGGGATTCTGGTAGCCAGGCACCTGGAACAGAGCAAGGCAGGTGGCAATCTGAACTTGCACAGGTGGCATTTGAGTTAATTGCAGTAAGCTTCTGAGCTCTCTACTGAATGTTGTTTATATCTGGATTATGGCATTTAGCTGCAGGACCTTTTTATTCTTGAACATTTATCTTAGTCTGCTGTTTCCCATACATTCTATTTCTTAGTTAATAACTTAATACAGATTCTAACAGCATGGTGCTGTATTTGTTTATCATCATCATCATCATCATTATAATGATGATGGTGTTTGGTGTATGAACTTGATTCAGTATGGCTTAAATGGTCATATTTCATGTTCCAATGAATGAAACTCTTTTTCCTCCTCTCTCATGGTCTCACCCATGCATGAGAACCCATGTATATGCATCTGGATGGTTGTTATAGAAAATAATGATCTAGAGATTGAAGTATCTTTCCTGTAGTTTGTGTGCAATATGATTTAACCTATTTTTAATTGTTCTCTCTGTTGTAGATTGTAACGAATTCAGGACGTGCAAGTACTTTAGCAGCTACTGATGCTGCAACACCTACTTTGAAGCGCATAGAGAGAGCTGCAATAGCTGCAGCTACTCCCATTACTTACCATTCTAGGTATTTTCTGCTCAAGAGAAATTTTATGGGTTCAGTATCTGTTCTTATGTTTCACTGATTCCTTTCATCCATTCTGACTGTTTTTACTGTTTCTTTTCTGGCATATGTATGTGCTTCTGAAACCTAAGGGATCTTTTGCTTCTCATACATGAACACCTTCAGGCATGTGGTCTGGCTGAAACTGCAGCTAAACTTCTTAAAGAAGCTCAATTGACACCTCTTCCATCCTTGGCAGCCCCATCATCTCTTGCGCACCAATCCTCCACTCAGGATACCCCCTTAATGCAACTTCAGTGGCCCTCTGGTCGTATCACTGGTGGGTTTCTTTCCAACAAGCAAAAAGGTAGCGCAAGTGATGAGGATTCCAGTCTGAAGTGCAATTCAGCTCCATCTTTGAAAAGGAAACCCCCTTTTTTATCCCCTCTTATCTTACAATCAAGAAATCAGTTTCAATCTCATGATTCCCAACCATTGTCAGCCAGGAAAGTCTCAAGAGACTCTCCTGCACCTACAAGTGTATCAGAAATTCCTCCAGAACATGTGCAGAAAAATAACCTTGATGTGGAATTTCAATGTAAGACACCAATCATTTTGCCACTGAAAAGGAAATTGTCTGAGTTGAAGGATACTGGTTCAACACTGTCAGGGAAGCGGATTAACACTGGTGATCAGGCACTTCGATCTCCAGTTTATTCAACGCTCAGTGCTAGCCGTAGAAGCCATCTACTTGCAGATGCAGCAGGGTTTTCTACTCCAAGTCCAAGTCTAAGGGATCAACATGGAAGGTCAACACCAAGCAATTTAACTATAATTTTGGAGGACAACCATTGCAGCAGTTCTCATGTTGGTCAGATGACTCCTTCCTCTAAACCTGTGCTTCTAAATGATCCCCAGCCCTCCAGCTTAGAGTGGTTGACTCTAGATAATATCATGGTTCAGTATCTCAAGCACCAGCATCGACAGTGTCCAGCTCCTATAACAACTCTGCCACCGCTCTCTCTTCTGCACCCACATGCTTGTCCAGAGCCAAAACGGAGCCTTGATGCACCATTGAACATAGCAGCACGGCTGGGTACACGTGAGTTCAGAGGTGTCTATGGTGGAGTCCATGGAAATCGCAGAGATCGTCAGTTTGTTTACAGCAGATTTAGGCCATGGCGAACTTATCGTGATGATGCTGGTGCTCTTTTGACATGCCTCAACTTCCTTGGTGACTCCTCCCAGGTTGTAGTTGGCAGCCATGCTGGTGAGCTCAAAATTTTTGACTCCAACAGTAACAATGCGCTGGAAAGCTGTGTAAGCCACGAATCTCCGTTGACAATTGTTCAGCCCTATATTTCTGGTGAAAGACGACTCATTCTCTCTTCAGGCTCCAAGGATGTGCGGTTATGGGATGCCTCTTCTATATCAGGTGGGCCCATGCATTCATTTGATGGCTGCAAGGCTGCAAAGTTAAACAATTCTGGGACTACTTTTGCAACCCTGTCTGCTGAGTCCAACCGCCAGGAAATTCTCCTTTATGATGTCCAAGCATGCAATTTGGAATTGAAGCTTTCCGATGCTTCTGCCAATTCTACAGCTAGGGGGCTTGTATATTCACTGATACATTTTAGCCCTTCAGACACAATGCTCCTCTGGAATGGTGTTTTGTGGGACCCGAGGGTTACTGATCCTGTACATCACTTTGAACAGCTTACTGACTATGGTGGTGGTGGTTTTCATCCTGCTGGCAATGAGGTAATAACTTCCTCTCTGCTATAGCTTTTACTTTTTTGGTTTTTTTGTTGTTGCTATGATTGACCATTTGGGTATTTGCTTGTTTTTGTCAATAGTGAAGTTTGTTTGCTGGTTTTTTTTACAATTGTCATGGCTTGAGCTGTTAATTTTTACATTGCCATTTTTAATGTTATGGTGATCCATTTTAATACCCTCTTGAGTTTCCCTTACCAGGTTATCATAAATTCTGAGGTCTGGGATCTTCGGAAGCTCAGGCTGCTGCGATCTGTACCTTCTTTGGACCAAACAACAATTACATTTAATTCCAGTGGGGATGTAATTTATGCAATCCTGAGGAGAAACCTGGAGGATGTGATGTCAGCATTCCATACTCGTCGTATGAAGCATCCTCTGTTTGATGCTTTCCGCACTGTGGATGCCATCAACTACTCCGAAATTGCTACCACACATGTAGACCGTTGTGTCATTGACTTTGCAACGGAGCCAACTGATTCGTTTGTTGGGTTGATTACAATGGATGACCAAGATGAGATGCTTTCATCAGCCAGGATATATGAAATTGGTCGACGAAGGCCACCTGGCAATGATGATGATCCTGATGGTGCTGAAGAAACTGATGAAGAAGAAGAAGAAGAAGAAGATGACGATGCTGATCTAGACCCCATACTTGGGTCAGACTTGAATGGGGAAGATGATAGTAGTGATGGCGATGATATGAGCGACGAGGACGATGATAGCCTGAGTGAGATGGATGATGAGGATGGAGAACTGATGATGGATGATGATGGAGCAGGGATACTAGAGATTGTGACGGATGGTGATGAGGATGACGATGATGATAGCGAATTGGTTGAATCATTCAGCAGTGGTGATGACGAAGAATTCGTAGGGAATGGTTTTGGGTTCTAATTTTGTTTCCAGTCATTAGCTCTGATGAATCATGTAATCATTGTTTCAAGTCCTTTTGCCAATTTTGTGACTTTGGCACCACCGTCTTTGAAAATAAGAAAATTTTTCAATGCAAAAAGAAAAAGGAGATTTGGTGCAAATGCGTTTTGCTCAATAATTAATTACAAATAAATATTGAAATATACGCACTTGCCCTTCGGGCCAAGCGGCCTTAGGGCTGCTTGCAGTGCATTTCTCCCACCCTTGTAAACTTGGTCAAAATAAATAAATAAATAATTATTGAAATATACAAAATTTATTTCAGGTTTATTTATGATGCGCTAGAATGCACGTCAAACTATTAGAATTTAAACATTTTATTTCACTAGAATAAGGTAGTTGTGTCAAGATAGGTGTAGGTAGTATTTTGCAAAGAGAATATGAAAATTTGGCAATAGAATTATAGATACAATACGTATGAGATGTAATGTTAATTTTACTTAAATATCAATATTTTCATTATGTGACAGCTGACCTTAGAGACCTAATGGCATTAATCACTGAATAGGTGCATTCTCCTCTTCTTCTGGGTGAGTTTCAAACCCGCTCCATATCAAAATATTCAAAAAAATTATATATATTTCCATCATGTGGTTAACATTGGGCTTAACTTATCAAGATTCTATTTTCTCTCTGTTAAAGACTGGCTAATTGGGTTGTTTTACAACTCAAGGTCTTTCGGTAACATACTAACATTGCATGATGGTGAAGTTGAGGGGCTTAAATGTTATAAAAGTTAATTTAAGAGGCTCAATTGAAATAAAAATTTGTAGAGGGCTTGATTACACCAAACAACTTAATTCAGGGGCCATATTGAAATAATTATGAATTTTTTTGGGCAAGGTTGATTAGTTACAATGAAAAATATATAATTGGTAGCTTTCAATAAGTACTATACCTTCTTCTTCTTCTTCTTTTTCAGTTTAGATCGTAAAATTATTGAATTATTATTGATAAATAAATTATTATTTTAATTTATGCCTCTTAAATGTATAATTAATATAAATTTTAAATTAATTTATATTAAAAATAATAATAATTTTATATTTGATGTCATATCAATTATTTTAATTAATTAATTAATTAAAAATTAATTATTAATTTTTGATAGTAATTAATATAAAAAAATTTATTTATATTAAAGATATATATTAAAAAAATTCAAAAATAAATAAACATGAGTCTTATTAAAAATATTTTGATAATTTCATTATTTTTTTTTCTTTCCTCGTTAAAAAAAAAAAAAGAAAAATCGTTTCTGTTATAAAGGGCTGTTTCTAGCGACGTTAGAGTAGGAGGGTGGCTCACTCTCATTCTGCTCGGAAGCTGAAGTCGGAGGCGGAGCAATGGATGAGAAGAAGGGGAAAGGAATAATGGCAGCGAAACCTAAATCGTTTAAGATCCACCGGAAATCATCTTTGGCTTCGAAGCTCAAATCCTCCATCTCCGCCCAGCTCCTCCGCTTCCTCGGTCATTACTCCGACGACGTCCTCGCCGTACGTCTTTTCGCCTTCTTTTTCCTCTGATATTTTTCCCTTTCAACCTTTACCTTTACATGCATTTGTGTTGTCTATAATTCGACTACTAGCATTTCTAACTTGCTGTTTGGCCGCCGGTATACGCTACTTCAATGCAGGCGGCAACTCTATGGTTGATTATTAGTAATATTATTTCGCAATGTCGTTTTTCAGTGATTGACTATTTTGTTTTTCAACTACATTTAACGCTATTCTTGTGAATTTTGTATTTCGCATTCTTTTCTTTTCTGCATGGTTTCTCTGAATCCAAACAAAACCTACAAAATCATCGAAAAATTAATTTTATCTCTGGTTGAAATGCTGTTTTTGTATAGTTTACGGAAATGACTTGCCATGGATCACACTGAATGCCTATTCTTGTTATTCTCGTTTATAGGAGTATATTACAGTGCTTGTTTGTAATGGAAAGCATCAGTATCAGGCCAGAGATGATCTAGAGGCATTTCTTGGAGAAAGGAGTGGAGAATTTGTTTCTTGGTACTGTCATTTTTGAACTCTGACTGACTTATTCACTGATTAGGTACCCATTGTTTTCAGCATTTAGAAGTGCATTTGTATGAGTTGTTGCTTTAACACAAGTTCTTGATATGTATGAATTATGATACTTCAACTGGAGTTGTGACTTGGGTATTGTCTTTGTATAGGTTGTGGGAATATCTCTCCAGATATGCTCATCAAGTCAATGAAGGCACTCGCTTATTTGATTCAATAGATGTTACTGCCGGCAAGGATTATGATAATGATGAAGACAAGGAGGATTCCAGATTTGATGGGTTAAAGAAGGGTGATAAGGTTCTGGTGATACCAGTTCCAGTCTTACATCTGTTTGTGAATTATTTATTAACTTTTTTTTTTTTTCTGTGTTGAATATCTAAGATAGTTTTGCATGGCAGACCAAAGATGAAAAGATCCACCTTTGGCCATCCTCTGCTGGCTATCCTGTGCTATGCAATGATTTGGAATCAGCTGAAGGTTTTCAACATCTTGCTGGTTTTTCTACTCCTCCACCTGGGGCTAATGACAAATCACTACCACAGACATGCAGAAGTGAAATCTTAGGAAAAGTCAGTGCAACTGGTGACATTGACAATAACTCCTTGACATACAATTCATCAGTGAAGAGAAGTCCTGTGATTTCGGCCAGGAAAAAACAAAATTTTCAGCATCTGGAAATGATTAGGAAGGTTGGCAGAGTTATTCTCATTATTTGGCTTTTAATAGTTCTAAATACTTACTTCAGCATGTGCTCATTGTAGTACAGATTGTCCAGAGCAATAACAATGCCCTGCCAAAGACAGAGGTTTTTCTCAGAGATTTGCAATCATTAATTTCAGGTATCTCACGCACTTTAGTCTATGTGTTTGGAAACCTTAACTTATTTATGGTAAAGTGCATAAATCTCTAAAGTTGTAAGGCATTCAAATTTTCATGCTTTATGGACTGAACTCTGAGTTTATTTTTAAATGTAGAATACCCTACATCCAGACAAACATGTGCCACTAAAGTTTCTGGAAGTGGTCTGTCACTGACATCAGTTGGTGCAGTATCCCTACAGAAT